CAGATCGTCGTAGATGACCAGGAAGTGCTTTCCATTGTCGCGGAACCATTCGCCAATAGAAGCCCCTAGTATTTGTGGTCAGCGACATGATCAAGATATTCGGGATGGTGTCGTGGATGAGTCGCGACGTCGGGGTATCCGAGTGTCGCGACGCTGGCGAGAGATATCCAGAGTCGCGACAAAAAGGAGCCGTGCACTCCCGAGCTGGAGGAGCCGTGCGCTTGCCCCACTTCTCTCCTTTCCAGGCGTGTCCGCCCAAAAAAAGCCGAGACTCGAAAAAGTAATAAAAAAATCAGGAAAAGAGAAAAAGAAGTAAAAGAAATGAAAAGAAGAGAAAAAGGAAGAAAGAGAAGTTGAAAAAAAGATAGAAGTAAAGGAAGCCGAGAAAAAAAGAGGCAATGAAAACCGGGCAAAAGAAAGAAAAAAAAAAGAACCGAGTCAAATAAAAAGTAGACTTTGGGCTTCCGAATGGTTTTACTTTGTTCCTCTCGACGGAGATTCCATTGGTATCCGCGCTTGGAGTCCGGCTTTTTTTCCCATGGGTGACGAGGAAGGAGCAAGGTGGGGTAAGCACCATGAAAGATCAAAGGAAGAACGTACCAGTGAAGGGGGCAATGTACTGCAGGGGGGCGGCTTCGGAGGCAGTGGCGGCGACGATGATCGAGTACTTCATGGCGTCGTTCTCCTCAAGGGTCTTGACGAGCTGAGCGACGGTGGAGCGCTTCTGGCCGACGGCGACGTAAACACAGTAGAGCTTCTTGGTCTCGTCGTTGGTGTTGTTCCACCGCTTCTGGTTGAGCATGGTGTCCAGGCCGACGGCAGTCTTGCCGGTCTGACGATCACCAATGATCAACTCACGCTGGCCACGGCCAATGGGAACCATGGCGTCGACAGACTTGAGACCGGTCTGCACGGGCTGGTTGACGGATTTGCGGGGGAGAATGCCGGGGGCCTTGAGCTGGGCACGGCGCTTCTCCTTGGTGTTGAGGGGGCCCTTGCCGTCGATGGGGTTACCGAGAGCATCGACGACACGGCCGAGCAGCTCCGGGCCGACGGGAACATCGACCTAGGGCGGTCAGTATGTTACGGCAACAAGCAATAGCTCGTGCTATCAACTTACAATTTCACCGGTACGCTTGACGGTCTCGCCCTCTTTGACGAGACGGTCAGAACCGAAAAGCACGACACCGACCTGGCCGGCCTCGAGGTTCATGCACATGCCCTTGACGCCAGAGGCGAACCTGCAGGGATTAGCTGCATGTAGGGAAGTAAATAGCAAGGCGGAGACCTACTCGACAAGCTCCTCGGCCTGGACGTTGGCCATGCCGTGCACACGGGCGATACCATCACTATCAGGGTCCAGTCAGCATTGCAATTCCACACCTTGCAATCTCAATCCATTCCCATGACTTCATGCGACAAGAACCCGGCCCGAGCATTGATATCCGTGCCGCCGGGTGCATGTGTTGTCCACCGCCAAGACTCCATTGCGTTAAAAACGTACCCAACAGAGAGGACGCGGCCAGTCTCGGCAAGACCGGACTCCTCCTGGACACCACGGATTCTCTGCTCAAGAATCGACGAGACCTCGGTCGGCGAGGCCTTTGCTTCGGCATATGTGCGGGTTTGGAGGGCCGAGACGATGGGTGCGGCATTTCGCTGCCGGGAACTAGTTAGCCTAGCCGAAAAGCAAGCAACGCGCCAAAAGCGCAAAGCAAAATCGAGCAGCTCTCATCCAGCTCCCGATGCTCGCCCAAAACCCATGCGTGGCCAAAAAAAGAGCTCAATTGAGCTTCCTGGGCGCGTGCAGGGCCGATTGAGACTGGATCCGAGCACCGGGTCGTTGAAATTGAGGTCGGGGTCGGGCGTGCGGAGGTGTGGTGCACTCACTGCAGCCACTCTGCTCGAGGCAGAGAGGGCGCCGACGGCGCGTGTGCTCTGTCGGAGGGCGTTCCGGAACATCTTTTCCAAGTATGTTTCGCCTCTGGTGATGAGGGGGAACAATTGCAATCAAGTTGCAATTGCGTTGAGGGGAGATGGAGACGAGAGGTTGATGGAAGTTTGGGGGAGCCAGAGTGAGGAAAATTGTCAAGAAGGGCTGGCAGGCCTTGGTTGGAGAGGTGGGCGGGTCCCGAGCTCAGCAAGAGCCAATCATCAAACCGAGAGAATTCTGCTCGACCAAAGCCTCCCGAGCAACTCCACTCGGCAACAACCAAAAAACGAACGCCGTTGCAAAAGCTCGAAAGATCATACCAACAACAAGCACCTTTCTCAACCTTTCTCGTTAATCGGATTCCAATCGATCAATACCCTGCTTCAATATCCCAATTTCTGGGGGGTCGTTTCCCCCGCGATTAACTCCACATCTCCAATCCAGACTATTCTTCCTGACTTTGGTTTGTGCGCTGGGTTTCCGGGTAATCCCGGAGAAATGTCGCAAAGCTCCCGTTTCGGTTGCCCCGCGGCAGCATTAACATGATGGACAACATGCCCAACTGTTTCAACGGTACCTTACTCAAACAACCCGGAACAGGCTTAAAATAACATGATATATTCTCAACCAAATATTGACATAGAAACCTTCGCCTACGACGTACAACCATGCTCAGAACCCGATTCCCACCCCTCCGCTTTCTCAACCCCTCACTGAAATGCCCCTGCATCCTGGGCTAGGCGATATCGAGCTGTGCGATTTCGCAGAAGATCCCATAGATCTCGTCCAACTTCCATCGAATGATACCGCCGAACTTCCGGGCGGGCAAGTGCGCCGCGAGAAGCGACCCTTGGGAAGTTCTCACGGACAAGCTGCTCCCGTTAGCTGCGATTTAGACTGCTTTGTCTCGTCATTACTTACAGTATCCGTTTGACAAATGTCGAATGCGACAGGTTCTCGAGATGTTGAAGACAGTCGGACAAGCTCGCAAAGGCTTCTCCCTGGTGGCCTAACAGGACCCGCTTGTCACGGATCAGTGTCATGAAGGCATCCAATACGTCTTCCTCCTCCTCTTGCAGCAGGAACTGGTCGTCATCAACCAACTCCAAGTGGTGGCCAAAGAGAGTCCTGAGGGTGTGTCGGATGTTCTGCGCCTGGTCGGGGTCGCCGGATCGTGGCACCCCTTCTTCGTTCGCCTCGGGGTAGCATGCTCGGTATGCGCCCAGAAGCTCCGCCAGGTATTGCTCAACCTCGTCTTCTCCGAAGGGCTCCGTTTCGATGGCGTAGCGTGGCTGAGTGGCCCGTGGTTCCGTCTGAGCCGTTTCTAGGCCTATTGTGCCAGCCAAGTCCATGCTGAGACTCCTCGCGGTGCGGAACGCTGCGGTGTTGGCTCGTTTCCGGAAGGGTTCGGCTTGATATGTTTCGTTCTCTGGGTGTTCAACCATAGGCGGGGTATCCATCCTCGGCTTTTTAACTGGGGGAGGAGCAAAGGGGGGGCTCGAGGGGCGTTTGCAGACCGGGGTGAGGCCCGGGGTCAAAGGGAAAACATGCCCAAAGATGCTTTCTCCGACTGGGTCAAGCCAAAGAGGGGGTTTGGAAGAGCATGCACCAGCTCGAGGAGTGTCCAGCTCCGACTCAGCGGCAGAAAGGCCATCGGTCTCCAGTGGATCTGGGATTGGCATGACACGCGGAGTGGCCGGAATATTGGCTGCGCTATCACTGTCCATTGTGAGTGTCGATGCTCTAGATGGCAATGCTGCTGGGAAATGGCCTCCGACCCCATCGATGAGCCTGTTGCCGGCGTCAGGGCCTGGGTCCGAAGGTGGCGATGCCGGCGGTGTCTCGCAGCCCGTGTTGTCGAACGGCGTTTCTCGAAAAGACAAGAATCTTGACGGCGACAAAGAAAGAGCTGGGTCACTTCCCGTCGAGTGTTCGGAGACGTTCACCTCCACACTGCTTTCGGATTCCCGGTTCGTGCATGATCGGATAAGGATGGGGAGTGGCGTTTTGTGCGGTTGATTTGCCATAACGACTATGCTGAAGCGGCACACGTTACTGGTTGTTCTTGAGACCACGGGTTTTCACTTACCGTTAGCGTTGCTATCGAGACTGACGTCGAGGTTGCTATCGAGACCGACTTCGAGGTTGCTCTTCGGGTTGTTGTCTACGTTACGAAGGACTCGAGGAACCTGAGGGTGAGAATAATATATACTTTAGTTATCTTGTCAAGTGGGGACTATAGATGCTAAGGACAATCTTTGGCCCTAGGACTCCATACTGATATACGTCGTGCTCTACGAATAGGCCCGCGGCCTCTTATGCTACTGCCACATCGAAGCTGGAGTTTTCGCCGCGGACGGCGTCCTTGCTCCTGGTCCCTGTGGCCAGGCACCCCCGAGGCCTGCCTCTGGGTCAGCCTGTGGCGCACCCCTACCTGCATACTTCTTCCCACCTGGCCAAAAAGTCGGCCCAATACGTGCGTCGAAGGTTCTGTGCTAAGCGCGGGTGGCGCCGCCAGACAAGCGCGCAACAGACCACCCACCCTGTTGGCCGTTTGACGGCCTACGTCCCTCAATCTGCCATACATGAGCAAATTCTATGCTCGACGGTATTTCCTGGCAACGCAAGAGCGGTGTGCTTGTGCTTGTATCCAGACCTCCTCCGTCGGCCGCCCTCAACGGCTGGCGGTTAGATGCCGAGCTGTGATTGGGAGGCCTGGCCCAGCAACGTGGATCCGACCAGCCAGGCGAGCTTCGCCGCCATGAACGCCATGATTTTAAAAGCTAGCCTCGGAGCTGAGCCTGGGATTAATTGGCACGAGTGCAAAATCTGTAACAAGACCTCCTGCCGGCGTGGGGCACTGCTACGGCCCGACCCAAGGCTCCCGACCGAATCGCAAGACCACATCCAATCGATTTCTCCCTGCCGGGGTTTTGGAGTCAGCACCGAGGAACGCCTATTATGACTGCTGAATTGGTGTGGTGTTGGGGCGGCCGTTGTCAAGCAGCCGTTCTCAGCCTTGCGTCGTCATCCTCGAGCTTTCGTGTCCGGAGATCACGACCAGATTCCGGATGGTGTGACAGAGCGAATCACTCTCCGCCGCCTCACTTGTCACAAGTTCGGGGCTGAACGCACATTCAGACGGCCCGCGGCAGTAAGCCGGTCACGCCCATATCCTGCAGATGGAAATGCACCTGCAGCGGTCCATCATCCATCATCAGTTTCCCCCTTCTCCCCCTTCTGCTTCCTTTTGTAGTGCACCAGCGCAACAGGTTATGGACCCGGGAACTCGGGCATTGCCTTCTCCGCCCTAGAGAAGGAGTTGGCACCACCGGTTCAACGTCTTGCGGCTTGCTGATTTACCGGCTCTACCAAATATGTCGACTTGGGTGACAGCGGTCTAGAGGTTCAGACTGGTATGTGCAAGAGTACGTTCCCTATTTGACCATTTAAATCCCACTGTTTAGGCCTGTCTAAAGAAACTGCCCGCAGTTTTGTAGCTCGCTCTTCACCATTTCGTTTCACCTTTTTATCCTAGCACCACAAGTGGTGACACCTAATTTGGCCGGAGGAGGATGGAAATAATGTGACCAAGAAGGAAGAAGAATCTGCAATGGTTATTGCCGTCTATGTTAAGTGTGCTCTAATAAAAAGAAAATTTCAACGCCATGGGTATCCGATCAAACCTATCACACAATGCTAGCACCAATCTAAAGTCCCTTAGGATCAACGACCCGAATAGAAGGGTCGAAGCAAGCATTTTTCATCATCTGATACTCCATCCCCTGAATATCCCAGGGGGCACTAAATGCCTGTTGGTCGAGCGAACCAACCTCGGCTACCCGCCTGGTGCCCGTTTGGCCCTCCCTCCACTGGCAGGTCTCATGCTTCGAACTCCCGTGTCGTCTGAGGATGTCTTGGTACCGTTCCATGGGGAACACCTCCGATTGGACTTCAGTCAGAAGAGGAACGGAGAAATCTAACCCCCAGAGTCGTCAGCGTCGCCCACTTCCCACAATCACGGAACACAAGAAGAACTCACCCCCTTTCAGATAGCTCTCAATCTTGTACTGTGCCACCACGGCCGCCATGCGACTCCCACCCTTGCCCCTCTGAATGACATAGCTCTCACCCCGGTAGCTCACGTCGCGCGGCGCGCCCGGCTGGTCGATGAACAGCTTGGGCCTGCCGCCGAAGAACTCGATCTCGAACTCGGCGCCGGGGTCGTAGCGGCGCACGAGGCGCATGAAGTCGGCGTCGGTGACGGCGTAGGCGAGGTCCTCGGACGAGCGCAAAAAGTTAACGAAGAGGTGGCACAGGTGGTGCGTCACCATGGCGGCCAGGTGGAACTGCAGGCGGTGGAAGCGGATGGTTTCGGCCTGCTGCTCGTCCTGGCGCTGCTGCCGCCGCGCGATGTCTGCTTTGAGGCGCGTCCAGTACAGCTTCTCCATGAGCTGCGGGTGCGGGTTGGGTCAGTACCGGGGAGGGGAGTGTTGTGGTGAGGGGGGAGGGGGTGGGAACTGACCTGCCAGTTCAGGTGCAGGACAGCGGCGGCCTTGGGGTCAAAGTCGAAGCGCTCTAGCGTCGAGTACTCGTCGACCCATGAGTAGGGCATGGTCTTGTTCTCTTCCTCGTGGCAGAAGCCGTTGCGGTCGTCGAGTTTGACAATGGGGAAGCGGTACCGCACGCAGCGGAGGAACTCATCCACGGCAGCGGGCACATCCACATACCATGGCTCAACAACCGGGCCCGGAACTGGCCTTTCCCGCCAGACACAAATTGCCTTCCGCGCCAGATTCTCCAGTGCTACACTCAAAATGATCAGCACGAACGAGGTCCCAACAAAAAAGCCAAACAACCACATACCAGTCCTCCCCCTCTCCCCCTCCATCATCCGCAACCCCAGATCCAGCACCGACGTGACCGTAAAGGCCCTTCCACCGCTGCGCTCCAAGGGGTAGGTCAAGCCGTTGTCGAGTACCTCAGAGATGATGACCTGGTACAGCCCCTCGGTGGGCAGCTGCCTCCACTGCTCCGACCTGACCAGCCCGACGCGCAGCAGGCCGCGCTCCGACTTGGACAAACGGCCGGAGAGGGCTTCCTTGTCGACAGGGCCGTAGGCGCGGTGTGCGTGCTCGACCGACATATAGGGTGCCATGGCGGGCGGGTAGGAAGCAGGTTCTTGGCTTGTTAGTTGTTCGCTCACGGGGTAGATGTGGATGGTGGGCACAGCGGAGGAGACGATTCTGTTGTGAGAGTCGCTTGGAATAACACGTCAAAGGTGACAGGAGCAGACGAGAAGGTCACGGTGTGTGTTTTGTTCGGCTGGTGAGCTAGTGGAAAACAGAATCTGCGTGTCGGGGGACCCTGGGCTGGACATAGCTGACAGGCTCCGGGATATGCCTCCGAGCTTCAAGGTCATGAATCGGCCCGGTCGGTCTATTGGGTGGAAACATCGGGAGGCCGGGTCCGGGTGGGCATCTGGCTGGCCAGGCTTTGGCAGTAAACATAGGGCAAGGGAGTCATCATCGTTGGCCGGGTTAAGCAACCTACAAATGACCGGCATTGACGATAACTACAATACGACCGGTGGCCGCTCGACCGGCCCGAAGAAGAAATACTGTTATTGCTCCGGGTTCTGCTGGGATCTTACTCTTCCGCACTCGCAGGTGATGCTGCGTTGACGGCCGAAGTCAAGGCCGACTAGTGATGGGATGATGGGCCGTTTCATCCAAGCGCATATCTTCGACCAGTATGTAAGTGGAGCGGTGGCATTTTATTTGCCAGCAGCAGGGCTTTTCTCGTTCAAAACCAGGTGACAGACAATGTGATAGACCGGGCCTTGGCCAGATGCGCGGGCGGCGCAGGTCACTGTTTCATGGCGACAACGGCGGGCCAACGAGCAATCACCAGCAATTGACCCATTGACCGTTGCGGCTTAAATACACTATTCGTCTGCTGTGAAACCCGAGATGGGGGCAAAAACCGTAACAAAACGAGGAATTGCTGGCAGTTGATGCGTCCCGGTTCCGTGTCGAAAGATTTCCGAGACTCGTCGGTTCCGGGTTGAGTTGTCAGCGCAGGACTGAAAGAACCAACCAAATATCCGAAGTTTTGCTGCGTGACGGAGAGCTTGACTCGAGAAGTAGTGAGGGTTAGGGTTCCCTACCTTGGCATTTGCCGGCCATCTGCAAGGTCAGGCAAGGGAACGCTTCCGGTTGCACCAGCGAACTTGGAGAACAATATCAAGGTGTGACAAACATTCCATTCATCGCGGCACCACACAATATCAACGCTACCGCCGTTGGAAGCCAATGAGATTCGACTTGGTTGTCACAAAAGTACTCGCAGCGTATATCTAAAGGATGTCTAATAGATCATGGCTGCGCTTTATTTTGCTTCGACCCCTCCATTCCCGCGAGGAAGCTTGCAATTGCAGTGTCGTGAATCTTTTGTTGTGTTTGTACGAGTAACCGTCTGTTACAGATAACTCGTGACCTCATCATGACCTCTCACATGCCCGAAAATTATGCCGAGGACCGGCTGCATCGGTACCTCGCGCACTGGACCCGAGATCCGTCCAATGTCTCAAAGGTGGACGTCGCCGCCATCAGCTGGGCCACGGATGAAGAGCGCCGTGAAAGACAGACAAAATACTACCAAGTAGGATCAGACTACTATGATCTGGTCACGCCACTGTATGAGCAGGGCTGGTATGTTCACGTCAACCCAGAACCCACCCCTCGAACCCATAACTTAGAGCTCTAACCCGACCCAGGGGCCAACAATTCCACTACACGCCCATCACGCCGGGCCTCTCCATCCGGGAGAGCATGACGGCCTACGAAAAAACCTTCGCCGGACTGGCCCGTCTGACCAAGGGCATGCGGGTGCTCGACCTGGGGTGCGGCATCGGCGGGCCCGCCAGGACCATCGCCGCGGCCATCGGGTGCAGCATCGTGGGCATCACCAACAACGCCTGGCACGTCGAGCGCGGCACCGCTCTGACCAAGGAGGCCGGGATGGGCCACCTGGTGACGCTCGTCGACGGGGACTTTTTGGTACGCCGCCGTCTGGAATGGGGTGGTGACGGCAGTGATGATGCGGTGGTCTGACACGACATGCAGAAATTGCCCTTCCCCGACGAGTCCTTTGACGCGGCTTACTCGGTCGAGTCGCTGTGCTATGCGCCTGATCCTGCAGCCGTCTATAGGGAGATTAAGCGTGTGTTGAAGCCGGGGGCGCCGTTTATGTTCCACGACTTTGCCATGACGGAGAAGTTTGATGAGAAAGGATCCCGAACACTGTAAGGTGCGCAACTGGATCGAGTTTGGAAATGGAATCACCAAGATGCCGTGGGTTCCTGATATGCGGGAGGGTGTGAAGAGGGCTGGTAAGTCTAAAGTACGTTACCTCCCAAACCAGAGAGGCGGCTAACAAACGGGACGAATCTAGGCTTTGAGTTGCTCAACGAAGAAGACATGGCGTTTCGTAGCTCACCCGCCCCTTGGTACTATGGACCTGCAGGCGATATCTTGTGGGCTTGGAGGATGCCAGGCTGGCCCGACTTTTGGAAGGTGTTCAAGATGTGGGAGCCCTTCCGAGGGTGTGCCCATCTCGTCTACCGAGCCATGATCTTTGTTGGTAAGGCGCCCCCCGAGGTCTCGACCCTGATGGACACCATGTGGTACTGCACTAAGAGTGTGGTTATCGGAGGGAAAATGGGCATCTTCACGCCCATGTACGTCTTTGTTTGTCGAAAGCCAGGAGGGGAAAAGAAGTAAGGGATTTTGTTCCATATCGATGGGCTGTATTGTAATACTCAGGGTTAGGGCTCAACATGGGCTGTTTTCTTGGCGTACCTTGGTCTCACTACCGCTCCAGACCGCATCCCGCTGTCAAGTCGCTGTTCGACGCGCCATCTGTCACATTAAAGACGTCTTTATCCGGCCCCGATTTGGTCTTGAATAAGCGGCCAATCGACCATGGCACTGTCTGCCATCTAGAAGCCGCATTCCATTCGCTTCCTGTAGCGCGATTGATAGTAGCTGTTTTTCTTTTTGTTTGCTTTGCTCGTGGTGGCCGCCCTTGTGGCGCCCTCATCCCGCCGTCGTACATACCCAGGTACCATTTACCGGTGTGCCTTCTGCCGCCTGCCGCAACCATGACCCCCTACCGAGACGTCCCGCCTGTGTCGTCTCGCACACATAGTTCGAATCGAGACCGAAGCCAAAGCCGATCGAGAATGTCGCACGAGTCGGGTTCCTCAGTCTCTACCACGAGCATTGTCTTCGACCGCATCAGCGAGCGCGTTGCTGCGGGTGATCTTTCCGAGAAGCAGCCCCGCGGCGACGACAATGAGGACGCCCTCAAGGATGAACCGGATAACGATGATCTCGAGACCGGTCCCTTTCTTGGCAATGCCAGCGGCAATGGCAATTCCCCTCGTCATGCCCAAAAGAAGGGACCGGGAATGGACCGGGGGATGCGCAGGGCGCTCCTCATCGCCGCCGGTCTGTTAGTCTCCGCTTGGGTCGCCGGTCTATTCGTCTACATCGCGACAAAATCCTACAAACCTGCTTCCGCGACCGCACACGACCCGCAAGCCACCATCGTACGGGGCTCGGGCAAGGCTGTGACACTGGATCAGGTCATGGGCAGCTTCTGGCGCCCCGAGGTCCGCTCGATACAATGGATTGCCGGACCGGAGGGCGAGGATGGTCTTTTGTTGGAGAGGGACGCGGCCGGGAAGGATTACCTCGTGGTGGAAGACATTCGTTCCCAAGACGCGGCTGCGGTGGATAGCTCAGCCGACGCGCAAGCGGCAGACGCCAGGACCTTGATGGAGAAGGGCAGTTTCGAATATGGCAAAAGGGTCTACAACGCCGTTAAAGTGGCGCCAAGCAGGGACTTGCAGAGGGTCCTGGTTGCCACCGATGTCAAATCCAACTGGCGCCACTCGTCGTACGCCGCCTACTGGATTTTTGACGTCAAGACACAAACTGCCGACCCGTTAGTCCCAGGTGAACCGGATGCGCGCATCCAGCTTGCTCAGTGGAACCCAACCGGCGACGCTGTTGCCTTTACCAGGGACAACAACCTGTACCTGCGCAAGGTCGGCTCCGACAACATCATCCAGGTCACCAAGGATGGCGGTTCGGAAGTGTTCAACGGAGTGCCCGACTGGGTCTATGAGGAAGAGGTGTTCTCTGGTTCAAGTGCCACGTGGTGGTCTGAAGACGGCGACTACATCGCATTCCTGCGGACCAACGAGACCGGCGTGCCGGAGTTTCCCATTGACTACTTCCTCAAGCGGCCCAGCGGCACGGAGCCCAAGCCGGGTGAGGAGGCGTACCCTGAAACTAGGAAGATCAAGTACCCGAAGGCAGGCGCTCACAACCCAGTCGTTGAACTCAAGTTTTACGACGTCGTCCGTGGTGATGTCTTCTCGGTAGATATTTCCGGCGGTTTCGCCGACGATGATCGCCTCATCACTGAAGTCGTCTGGGCAGGAAAACAAATTCTGGTCAAAGAGACAAACAGGGTCAGCGACGTTATGCGCGTTGTCCTCGTTGACGTGGCGGCCCGCAGCGGCAAGACTGTCAGAACCACGGATGTCAAGGCTATTGATGGGGGTTGGTTCGAGATCACGCATCAGACCAAACACATCCCAGCCGACCCGTCCAAGGGGCGCGAGCATGACGGCTACATCGACTTGATCATTCATGGTGATGGCAACCATCTGGCCTATTTTACTCCGTTGGACAATCCTGACCCCGTCATGCTTACCTCGGGAGACTGGGAAGTTGTTGACTCTCCGTACGCTGTGGACCTGGATAAGAATGTCGTCTACTTCATGGCCACCAAGGAGTCGTCGATCCAACGACACGTTTACCAGGTCAAGCTCACGGGAGAAGACCTGACTGCGGTATCCGACACCTCCTCTGAGGGTTACTACGCGGCCTCGTTCTCCATCGGCGGCGGCTACGCTCTGCTGACGTACCAAGGCCCTGGAATTCCGTGGCAGAAGGTCATCAGCACGCCGAGCAACCCGCGCAAGTACGAACACACCGTGGAAGAAAACAAGGACCTCGCCGACAACGCCAAGAAGCACGAACTTCCCATCAAGATCTACGGGACCATCAATGTCGACGGCGTGGAGCTGAACTACGTCGAAAGACGGCCGGCTCATTTCGATGCGAGCAAGAAGTATCCGGTTTTGTTCCAGCAATACAGTGGCCCGGGATCGCAGACCGTCAACAAGAAGTTCACCGTCGACTTCCAATCCTACGTGGCTGCCGGACTCGGGTACATCTGCGTCACGGTCGACGGCCGCGGGACGGGCTACATTGGCCGCAAGAACCGCGTTATCGTCCGTGGTAATCTCGGCCAATGGGAGGCGCACGACCAGATCGCTGCGGCTAAGATCTGGGCCAAGAAGAAGTACATCGACGAGACGCGGCTCGCCATTTGGGGTTGGAGCTTCGGCGGCTTCAACGCGCTCAAGACTCTCGAGCAGGACGCCGGCGAGACGTTCCGGTACGGCATGGCCGTAGCCCCGGTTACTGACTGGCGGTTCTACGACAGCATCTACACGGAGCGGTACATGCTCACACCGCAGGCCAACGGGCATGGCTATGACACCAGCGCCATCTACAACACGACGGCCCTCGGACAGAACGTGAGGTTCTTGCTCATGCACGGTCTGGCCGACGACAATGTGCACTTTCAGTCGTCATTAACTTTGCTGGATAAGTTGAACTTGGCCGGGGTGGAGAATTACGACGTCCATGTGTTCCCAGACAGCGACCACAGCATCTACTTTCACAACGCGAATCGGATTGTCTATGACAGTGAGTTACAATTATGAGCATCCGTCGATGTCGATGCACACCATGCTAACAACGTGGCAGAGCTGACAAACTGGCTCATCAACGCCTTCAACGGCGAATGGATCAAGGTCGCAAGTCCGAAACCGAACGGAAAGAGGAGAGCGGCATGAGTTCATGTATAAAGTACCAATCTTGAAATAGCCTTTGGATAGCATAGGACGGCGTCAGGAGTTCCCCGGGGTATATATGGTATACATTCAATCAACTTTCCCGCGTCCAGTTCGGTATCACACGCATAAGCAATTCCTACTCCGGATCCCCCACCCCTGAAATAAATAAAAAATAAAAAAACACAACCCAGCAAACCAACAAACAAACCCCTTACCCCCCTAACCTCCCCCTTATGAGACCCGTGATGACCCTTCTCACTCTCCACCGCTCCTGGGAGCCAGCTGCGGCGGCGTCTCGACCGTGTCGTCGATCTTCTCGACGATGGCCGCCGTCCCGTACGCGCACACCTGCGCGAACCCGCCCAGCTCCCCAGCATCGAACCGCAGCGCGATGACGGCGTTGCCCCCGCGCGCCTGCGTCTCGGCCACCACCCGCGAGATGGCGTCGTTGCGCGCGCTGTAGAGCTGTGTTTGGGCCCATGCATCAGTAATGAGTTCCGTGTTTTCACACCCCCGGGGGGATTGGTTGGAGGAGGTAAGGAACCCAACGTACCATGTCCGTGAACCACCGCAGCTCGCCGCCCGCGATGCTCTTGAGCACCATGGTCAGCCCCGCCGCCCAGTTACGCGACCGCACCGTCAGCCCGTACACCGCGCCGAGCACCCGCACCACGCGGTACCCCGGCACGTCGAACATGGTGGTTGTGATGACACCGTTGGTTTCGGTGAAGCCTGCGTATGGGGAGGTTCGCAGTCGATGTTAGTGGTCTGTGTCTTTCTTGTCTGTCTGTTTTGGGCGGAGTTGGTGAAGATGGACTGGGAGACGTACAGTGGAGGTCGGAGATGGAGGGGGGCACGTCCGCCGTCTCCTTCTGGTCCTTGGGGTTCATGGAGAGCCGGTGGGAAGACATTTTGGTAATGATGGTGGTGGTGGTGGTGGTGGTGGTGGTGGTTGTCAAGAAAGTAGGTGGTCAGGTTTAGGACAGAAGATGTGTCAAAACTGAAGCAATGTGCGACAAATCCAGACTCAAGGTTGAATCACGGCTGTTAGATCTGATGATAATGTTCTTTTCTGTCTGTTTCGAGGGCGGCTCAGAGCCTTATATAGACATCGATCCCCTCGGAGCAATTAAGGTCCCTGCCTTACTGCGTATCGATCGTTTTCGGCCAGCCCTGTGTTACTTAGCCCAACCTAGTCAGCTAACCCATTCATGATCTATTTCGCCCATTCTAAGAGGTCAGGCCACTGCTAGACAGCATCATGTTCAACTGGCGGTGTTGGAGACGCCAAGAGATGCCACCGTATTTCGTATCATTGCACAGAAATTGGCGAAAACGATCCGCTCAGCCCCTCACTCGACCCCACTTTTGTGGCCCAGGCTATGGCTGGCCAATGGGTTGCCGTTTGCGGCGCAGGACCAAGACTCGATCGACGCCTTGGGCAGAAACCCATGAGGAACGCCATTTGCTGCGCCGCATCGGTCGGATTCGGGATTTCCACCTGCCTTTCGGGCAATCAAGGAGACGAATAGCCCTAACCCTTCGGTCTCCATTGAGAGCTGGCCTCATGACCCTCCCGAACCACCACAACAGGGGCAACGGCAACCGTGATGATGGGAAGGAAAGCGAGAAATGTAATAAAAGAAAGAAAGCTGATTGGAATGAGAGCAAGCTGAAAAAATAATACAAAAGAAAGAAAAATAGAATAAAGAATAAAAGGGCAGCAGGATGAGAACGAGGTTCAAGAACAACAGAGGCACAATAACTAAGTGAAGTAATGAGACGAACAAAAACATAAAAAACAAATCTACTTCACGCCCACGCCATGAAGGAGGACTATGACGACAACACAACACCAACGACGGGTTGCTATGCTCTTTATTAACTTCGTCCTTGCTCTCCAGTTAGGGTTGGGGTTCTCTTCGCCTGGAATCCCTTCCCGCGCCTAGGCACGGCGGCCCGGAACACATCGGCGGGCGTCCCACAATTCCATTCTCGAGACACGGAACGAGACACCCTTCAGGAAACGGGGCGATCTCGGGCGGGTTCCGGGTTCCGCCATTAACATTAAACAATGCGCGCTCGACGGTACGCGATGCCGCTCGCCAAACAACAATTCAATTCAGCCGAAATAATCGCGATCGACGTGCCGCTATCTTGTTTTGACCACGGAATAGACAATGGGGGGCCGTATATCTCAGCGCAGCCGCCCGCTCCTATATGAATTGGGCTCCCCTGAGTGTCGAGCGTCCCGGTTGACAGAGACTTGAGTCGAGCTACGAATAAACGTCCAAAGCCACCACCATGTTCTCCACCCTCCTCAGCCTGATCACGGCTGCCGCCGCGGCCAACGCCGCCTGCACGCCTCCCACCGGCGGAGGCACGGCGGCCGGCGCCGTCAAGTGCCCCATCGTCTTCGACGGGCGCGTCGGGGCCGACACCCAGCTGACCGACTTTGACAGCTACGACACGTCGCTCTTCAACGCCGAGTACGTCAAGGGCCAGAACCTCAAGTGGAGCGAGATCATCCAATTCCCCGAGGCCGACCTCGCCCACTTCGACAACAGCACCCACAAGCCGTTCGAGGTCACCATCAGCGACGACAGCATCTTCCAGACCCAGAAGGGCTTCCGCCGCGCGGGGCTGCAGTTCCAGGGCGACACCAACAATGGGAGCCCAGGCAGCACCGGCGTCAAGACCATCCACTTCAGCGTCAAGCTGGACCCCCAGCGCGCCTTGAACCTGAGCCACGAGTACCTCCTCGTCTGGCGGGAAGCGGCCGATTACAGCAGCAACCAGTTCAACTTTGAGGCTGGTGCCATCCTGGGCCAGGGCAGCTTGCCCGAGAACACCTACAAGGTGCTGGACCGGAAGAACAAGCAGATCTGGTCAACCCCCATCCTGGAAGATAGCTGGCAGAACTTTGCCGTGACCCTCGACCACGACAAGAAGTACGTACTTTTCCCCCTCTGGCATTTTCTTTGAAGACGGGCAACTAACAGACGGCAGCACCCCTCCAAGTGTACTACTCGGCGGGCGACGAGCAGCTTAAGAGCGTCACCGAGCCCGTGTCCAACGACAACTCGGGCGAGGGACAGTTCCAGATCGGCATGCTCAAGAAGCCTACTGGCACTGACGACGTCGTCAATTCGGGCTACCAGGAGAGCGGCATCGACGAGGGACTCATCTACGGCAGCCTGTTCGTCGAGGACAGCGCCGGCGGGTGTGTCTCTGTGTAAGGGTAGAGTCGGAGTTCTCTCATTCATATCTGGGTTGTTAGAACGATAGACTACTACTCGAGAGGGCAAATAGCTAAACGATCACTCCCGTGGAGATGTATCATATGAGACCATCTCTTCCCGAATCCCTCGTCCCATCTCTAACCATGCCCGGGACCCGTCGTCCTCCCATCTATCTCTCTGCGTCCATCCCCCTTCCTCCCTCGCCCCCAACTCCCCGTCACGCCCCATCTAGCTCAATGATCCACCCCTTCAAACCGAAAAGACGTCATCGTAAAATTCTCCCTCCCCATATACATCTGATGGGCAAACATGCCCTCGCCCACGACCTCAAAGTACTTATCGGCAAAGTGCACGACCGACTCGTCGCGCGTGTGCGCGTCCACCTGCCGCACCACCTTCAGGTAGGCGCCCGTCTGGCGGTCCAGGCCGAAGACGCCGTCCGCTGTCGGGTCCGTGGTGTCGACGTCAAAGCCCATCGTCCACGAGAACCACACGTGGTCGTGCGTCCAGTCCTCGAGGTTGTCGTCGACGTCGTCGTGTCCGTGGTGGCACCACGTCTGCGGGCTTGAGGCCAGCGAGTGGTTGAGGCTCGTGCTGAGCGCGAAGCAGTGGGCTTCCGCCGCGCCGGGGTAGGGGGTGAGGTGGAAGTTTACGCTGGGGGTGGGTGTGGTTGGTTAGTGGATTTTTGAGGGTGGGGGGGGGTGAGGTGGGATGGATGGGTTACGCACTAGCTTCGGTCGCTGAGCACCACCGCTTGAGCTTCGAAGCGTGTCACCACAAAGTCGAAGAGGCCACTGAGAATTTCGGGGACTGGATTGGGCGGTGGCACCTCGATATGCTCGTTGGGCAGAGCACTGGCGATGGCTGAGGTGATCAGCACCATGATAGCGGTGATGCCGTGGAAAATCATCGTGACTTTCTGTTAACGGGTTTGTTTCGTCGCAAGTTTGTTCGGATCAGGTGGCTGTTGCTGTTAGATTCGACGAATCGAAAAGAATCGGTTGGGTAAAACACAGAGGTAGAAACCAATTTTCCACTGTCTTCGTACCTTCCCTCTCTGAATCAAAGATTCAAGATGTGGCACTACGTTGGCCTGAGTTTAAGTCTTTGGTAGCTCCTTCCTCAGAAATGACCTAGGCATGAACTGAGAATAATGTTTAGGTATGATCTCACACTCTTGGTATTGCCAACAAGGCTTGCAGCTATGGTCTTAGAAACACATGCTCGTATCACTGAAAAACAACTTGGTGCTCTGATCGTAGGTAACACAGCTGCTTGTAAGTGGTGTCAGATAAAGACACACCTAATCCTGTACAGCTTCTGCTGTGAGCAGACTCAAGGTAGGTGTCTTTTTCCATGCTTTGGCCTGATATCGTGGCGTTAGTGAATGAGTCTAAAGCCAAGCTCGGTAGCATATTTCAGAATTAACAATTTATGCCGAAAAGATGGCGGTAACGGCTTGCAATCGTCAGTTTGGACTTGTTTCTTAGATACAACGATAACTTCGCCAATTCCGTTGTTCCGTTATTCAACACCATCTGCAGTACCGTCTCTGAGTCCCAGTCTCTGTAAATCGAGTTCAAGTCGTCGGGCTCTGCTTTGTTGTAGCCAGGCCAGCCCCGACCTGCCCTTCGTCGAGCGCGGCTGTCGAAACACACCGCCAATGCTTCAAACAACTAGCTTAACAGGGAAGTCCACTAGAAATCTCGAGGATCCAAGAACGGACATCTGGAGCCCGCCCAATGGGTAGCTGCAGATTGTCATCGGATGCTACGGACGGGAGGATGCCATGTGTATGTCCCCGACCGGCCGGGTTCAACCATGAAGCCAGCTCGCAAAGATGCCGACTTTCCTGTCGACGTCCAAGCCACTCGTTCCACCCGATGCCGGCAACGCTCTCCGCCATTTGATGTCGGAACTTGGGATGCATGTGGTGCTGACCGGCAAAGCTCCATGCTGCAGCTCAAGCCTGCAGAAACAGCCTGCCGCCCCACCGCCAACGCAGCGTGGGCAGCTGGCAGCTGGCAAGCTTCCCTGGTAACAAACGCAGGACAACGCACGGCCGCAACTAGAAAAACTGGCCCCTGCCCGCATTTTCTCTTTTCTCCTTTTCCTCCTCTCCTCAACTCCTTCCCAGGACTGAGACTTGGTTGTGATCTCAGGCTGGGGGAAACCGGATTTGGAGAGCGGTGAACCGGAGACAGAGTGGAACCCGCCCTGGCAGTGGGTCAGGAGTGACCGGGGTCCGAGAAGGACTGCGGCGCTGGGGGGTTGCCTTTGTGGCTCGTTTCGGAGATCACCATCTCACTCACACCCCCTTGGCCCCTTGTCCAGAAACGTCGGTTTTGTGTCCCCTAGCTGAAAAGCACCACGAATTTTTTTCTATTTTCTTTCAACCCTCCACGAGAAAAGGACGCGACGGGTCTCGTCATCGACAAGGTTCCGATTGCGTCTCTAGGTCAGGCAGCGGTACGTAAAACCCAACCTCATGCAGACAAGCTCCAATTGCCGACGTAACCCAGTGGATACGTCGCGGTACGAAGTACCCTGGCGTTCTGAGTGGCCCGCGGCAGGATTATTTTTATTCGTTCCGAAAACTGACATTCAGCTTCTTGCCAGATCTCCAACCCAAGCTCAGAGCCACGCTTTGTTGACGCATTCCTTCCGTCACATCGCAACTTATATTCACCGAACAGGGCCAATTCAGTGCCTTTGTTCGCAGCAACAACACCCCACCCATTCTACTAAAACTTCTCTGCTCCGACAACCCACAACCGCCCAACATGTCTCGGATACAGATCCCGGTCGAGCTGTTGACATCTCGCTTCAATCTCGGGGACCGCTTCGCCAGCATGCGCTCCGGATCGCTGGCTAGCCGCTTCTCGAATATGCGGCCGCTCTCCGAGTTCTTTGACGTGAAGCGCATCAACAAGCCGGCCAACTTCCCCGAAATGCAGTCGCGCATTAACTACAACCTCGGCTACTATTCAAGCAACTATGCCGTCGTCTTTTCCATGCTCTGCATCTACAGCCTGCTCACGAATTTCTGGCTGCTTTTCGACATCGTCTTCGTCTCCGTCGGCATGTTCATCATTGGCAAGCTCGAGGGTCGCGACCTCGAATTTGGTGAGCAGCGCTTCTCGACAGTGCAACTATACACGGGTCTCTACGTCATCGCCATTCCGATCGCCCTCATCTCGGGCGTCTTTGGCATGATGATGTGGCTGATCGGTGCGAGCGGTGTGGTCATTCTCGGCCACGCTGCGCTTTTGGACAAGCCTATCGATGAGGCTTTTTCCGGGGAGGCGGTCTAGGTGGTCGGCCGCGAGCTCCCAAACCTGCGCCCCAATGGGGAAGACCATCAAGGCGCGAGCGGAGGAATGAGGCGCGCAACGGGGAAGAGGAGAGGTGGTGGGATTTTGGCCAGCGAGTCGAGGAGCTGGATAGTGAGGGTGATTTTGATACACAGGGAGTTGGGTCGACCTCGACGGCATTGACCCGTCGGGTCACCAGTGATTCGCTTCGATTCACGGGGATGGATATGGGCGACGGGGTTGGTAATACTCGGTCACGGAAGGCGTATGCATATCAGAACGGGGAGGATGATGACACGACAGATAACTCAGAAGAAGGCTCGGACGGCGAGGACGGCGTCCGAATGGCCTTGGTAGATCCGGAGGAGGAAGCACTGGCCGATGCTGCGATGGCCCGTATACGAAAGGCCCACGCCAAGGGCAGGCAAGACGTCAAGTTGAGCAAGGAAGAATTGGCCGCGTACCAGCGGCGACTGCAGCGCATGGAGGACGAGGGGCGCAGACAACGGCGCGATCAACGGGTTGCTATCCCCATCTCGCAACTGGGGCCCGGTCCACAAAGACAATCGGTGGAAGACGACAGCCCTCCGCCCTCACAGCAACTCTCGCCGGAACCGGGGGCAGAGCGACAGGAGCCCTCTCCTGCCAATGGGGTATTTCTCGCTCCTTTCCTCGCGCAGCCACACTCGCCCAGGGCGCACCTCATCTCGACTCGCCGAGCCGGAGTGCCGCTGACAGAGACCCGAGCTCATCGCCATTCACATATACCTATGTGCGCGGCGATCAGCCGTCCAATTCTCGCCAGCCTTCCGATTCGGCAAGTAGTAGGCCGCTTTCCACTGCCGAGCCGGCCCGGGGCGGTGGGTCGCCTGGCTCGGACCCTTTCCAGTACATGATGGGGGGTCCACGCACCTCGTACCACGGTGGGACCAGCGCCTGTGCGAGAACCAGCATCGCCGACGTGGACGGACATTTACGCCCAGCTACGGTTCCGGCCCGGCTGGCGGCCCGAGTCGCAGGCACAGCGGCGGACCCAGGGAAGCCCGAATTGTCCGACGAGGACGGTGATCGTAGGCGTGTGGTGGCGAGGGTCAACTCGGGGGACCGTCAGTCGGGCCTCGGCACCGGGATAGCACTGACAGCCGGCGGGAGCCGGCACCGGAGCCGCGGCCATCTCGAGACCGGACGCCGCCGCCTGCAAAGAAGTCGTCGGCTACGTCGTCGACGGTGGCAAAGCGCAAGTCGGTATCGGGCACTACTACTACCAAGTCCGTGCGGAAGAAGAAATAGTCGTCATCCTCTTAGGTCTGCTGTGCAGACAACCGAAGTGATTGAGTTTTATAACCCCAATGTTTACAAAAGCAGCGAGCGTTCGGTGATAGACTAGCATTGAGTTTAATGACGAGAACTGTGTATGGGAACCATGTCTGTTGCCTTGCTTGACCCATGGGTTCAGTGTGAAGTTCAATACCGACCTGGTAAGCGAGTAGCCAACACCTTTTTGTTAACAGCAAAAATGCCTACCCATATTCATATCTACTCGTAGCTCATACCGCGCAGGCCGATCATCTCTCATCTCATCTCATCCATCATCATCATCATCATCCTTCATAACCAAACCAAAACCCACCCCAAACTCAAGAAAACATCTTCACAATCCCCTTCAACCCATCACTCCACCCCCCACCACCACTCCCACCCCCACCCCCCAGCACATCCAACTCCCTCCTCTCCCACCTCACGCCCCCCTCCCTCCCCCTCTCCACCCCGGCCCTCACCACACTCGCCCCGCCCGCCGCCGCCGCCGCACCACTCACCATGCGCATCGCCTCGCCCACCAGGCCCATCGAGTCGCCCGACCCGGCCCGCGCCGCCACCCCGAGCATGCGCTCCACAAACGGCGGCAGCCGCAGCCCCACGCGCGCCAACAGCGCCGTGAGCGCCCCGCCCGTGATGAGCGGCATGAGGACAGGCAGGAATACTTTGGTCAGGTGCAGCTTGGCGTAGTAAAGGAAGTCGCGGAGGAAGCGGCAGAAGTTTTTTGATCATCCGGGCGATGAAAGCCTGGGCAGGAGAAGCGCCGGTAGTGCGAAGGAGGAGGAGTGGGTGAGGCGACCACCTGGGAGAGAGGAGTTTTAGTTTATGTTGATTTGTTTGGTGTTTGGTGTTAGGTTTTGGTTGGAGAGATTTAGAGAGATGTGAAGAGGGCCATACCGAAGTTGCTGAAGAAGGAGCCTCTAGAGTTATTGGGCGCGCCACCGAAAAACGAGCGGACGCCGTCGTCGTCGCTGTCGCCTCCGCGCCGGGCTTCGTGGTGGTGGTGGCTGCGGCGGCGGCTGCTGCGGTGGTGGTCGTCTTGCTCGTCGTCCTCGTCGCCGCCGAAGACGGAGGCTGCGATGCCGGCGATGGCGCCGCCGACGGTGCTGCCCGCGCCAACGTTGGAGCGGGAGGAGCGGTGCCGCGAGCGCGAGCGTTCGTGGCTGCGGGAGCGCTCCTTGTGGTGGTGGCGGCTGCTGCGGTGGGATTTGGACCGCTTCGAGTGCGAGGTGCGCCCGGAGATGACCGAGGCGGCGTCGTCAAGGAAACCCATGGTTGTTCGACTGCGTGGACTTGCGACTGCTTGTGGGTGGTGCTGCAGGTGGTTCAAGAA